AATTAAAGAAGACACAATTTATAGTGGTTCGGTCAATTCGACCTACGTCCACTCTTCAATGGCTTCAGTTGCCGGGTATTTTATTGATTCAAAGGTATGGAGAATAGAGATACAAGCTTTGAGAAAGAGAATGGAGAATCAAAGAAATAGTAATCTCCGGTAGTCGGTTCGTCCTCTGTAAGTCTTGGTGGGGCGTGACATTCATCTCTTCTACCAGATTGGAGCTATTTTATAGCAGCTAAGAGATCATTCTCATGGAGATCATGACATATCCTCAAGGCTTCTTTATCGCAGCTAAGAGATTATTCTTGGTGGAGATCACGACTTATCCTCAACGGAAGGAGGAGGTTGGGGAGCTCTTCATGAAACGTGGTCAAAGATTGGACCGTTTCCTTCGGTGGTGCAGATAAGCTTCCCATGCTCTCCTCTTGGTGATGTGCTAAGCAAAAAGTCTAACCGGTCTTGGACTTGGTGGATTTGGACCGTTTCCTTTGGTGGTGCAGATAAGCTTCCCATGCTCTCCTCTTGGTGACGTGCTAAGCAAAAAGTCTAACCGGTCTTGGACTATCTTGGGCTTGGTGGAATCAAAATGAGGTTGGGCTCCTCAACTGGGGTTGGACTTTAACACGTAAATTGGACTATTTGGACTTAACCCATCAGTTATGTTGAAGGACAAAATCACTGTACATGAAATGGATTTCAAAAATGAAGAATACCGAGTTGCTGATCTTGGTCTTGGTGTTAGAGTTTCTGATCTTCCTCTTGGATATGCTCATCGTGGTCTTGGAGATGCTAATCGTGGTCTTGGAGATGTTGATCACTGTTTAGGATTTTGGTTCATTTTGGGGATTTTGTGAACGATGTTGGATCTGATCTGGGAGGACAAAAAATGGTGCCATTTTTGGTGGATGATTTTTAAAAAAAAAAAAAAAAAATCTANAGTTTTGTGAACGATGTTAGATCTGATCTGGGAGGACAAAAATTGGTGCCATTTTTGGTGGATGATTTTACAAAAAAAAAAAAAAAAAAAATCTAAAATACCGTAAAATAGTAACGTTTTATTAAACCACATGCTATGCGGTAACTCCCAACCGCATTGGAGCAGGACGCAGAACGGAGATGACTAATTAAGGTGGGGTCGGACGACCCTGCTACATTCAAACTTAGGCTCCGAATTTGCTTCGGACAGCCGTTTGGCTTTCAGACCTCTATCCCTCTTCTGCAGTGTTCGTTTTCCCTCCCTTTCCACTTTCAAAGCGTTTTCTGCAGCTAACATCATTCACGGACAAAACTAAACGAACGCACCGACGCACTAGCGCACACAGACACCTAGGGAGGGACCCCTAAATCCATAACTTCACACACACACAGAGTTCTGAGGATGTCAGCAATGGAGTGCGTCTCCGTTCTGGATTCAGAGAACAATGGACAAGTTGGAGGTAACTTTTATCGTTTACCTAATTCTCTCCATGTATTTGTTTTCATTAATCTTCTTTCTTGTTTTTGTGTCTTCAATACTTTCTAGGGTTTATTTCTGAGGTTAATTTAGGGTTTCCCAAATCTTTTTCTTTGTATGATTGCATTTAACGGCAATTATATGGTGAAAGGCCCCATTTTATGTATCAATTAGGGTTTAACATTCATGCTTTAATTAGGGTAAAAATACCGTAAGTAGTTGGTTTTTAGGTTAATTAAAGCTTGTCCATGTGAATGTACTTGGTAAGTTATTTAATTAAAACTCAAATTTTGCTTGATAAGTTTAATTCTCTAATACGCATTTGGGTATTTGTGGTTATTCTTGTGATTTGATAAGTTTCAGACTAATTGAGACCTTCACACTTCATTGNACTCAAATTTTGCTTGATAAGTTTAATTCTCTAATACGCATTTGGGTATTTATGGTTATTCTTGTGATTTGATAAGTTTCAGACTAATTGAGACCTTCACACTTCATTGTTCTTTCATGTTGGTTTTTTGGTACCCTTTTCCACCAAGTAGTTTTTGTGGTACCTGATAACTCTTTACTGGGGATTACGCTATTACCTGTGTAGAAATGCTCTACATGCTACATTATATAGCCTGAATTCCAAGAATTGGAATTGGACATATACACCATACAAGTTTAAGCACGTAAGCTAATATTTAANTGTTCTTTCATGTTGGTTTTTTGGTACCCTTTTCCACCAAGTAGTTTTTGTGGTACCTGATAACTCTTTACTGGGGATTACGCTATTACCTGTGTAGAAATGCTCTACATGCTACATTATATAGCCTGAATTCCAAGAATTGGAATTGGACATATACACCATACAAGTTTAAGCACGTAAGCTAATATTTAACCAATTCCATAATGCGGATTCCATGCCCCCAAATGCTGCCAAGACTTTTTTTGGTTTGTGATTTTTATTGTTGTTTTTAACATAGGGTAAGGCTTATATATACCGTTATCTTGTATGATGAGATGATTAAAGCTTGGAATTTTGTGTTGTAGATTAGTTTATCTGTTGGACATCGCTGCTTTTGAGTTCACTGTTTATTGAATGACTATGAAACTTGATTCTGATAATAGAGACCCCTAAAGTGCACAAAACGACAAAGGGTTCTACTGGGAATGTGGCAAGGAAGAAGCTTGTTGACATAAGCAATTTGAGGCAGCCGCCTAACCTCTCTGTCCACGCAGAGAAGTCACAGTTTGTTGCAGTTAGTACTAAAGAGTACATTGACCAGCTAAAGAAGGTACATATCTTCTGGGTCTTTACTATTTTCTTGTTTCATACATTTTTGCTGAGTTTCATGTTGTTCATGTTTAGCTTAGTGAGGTTCTCTGAAACTGCGATTCAGGAAAACGTGTCGCTGATGAAACTCCTTGCAGATAAAAAGTATCCTTTCACGATCAATTTGCTTTGTTTTCTAATGAGACATATTTACTTACATGGGTTATCTTCGAATTGGAATTTTCCTCTTGTTGTGGGAATTCCTTAACAATGTGTGACAGCAAAATTGTTGAATTGAGTGGAATCGAGTTACAGAAATTGAGGATCAATTTGCAGAAAGTGCAGCAACAGAATTTGCAGCTCGCTCAATCCAATAGTCAGATGGTGGGGGTATGTTTTCCTCGGGCATATTCTGAAAGTCAGTGACTCGTATAGTTGTCTGAATTTTTTGTGATTTTCTTTTGAAGGTTGTTGATTTCTGGTGACATAGATTTTATTGTTCTTTAATCTGGCAGGAACTAAATACAGGTAAAGATAGGGTAAGTTCTTACTGTCAAATATGGCCACTCAATGTTTTCCTTTTGTTGTGGTTCCGGCTCTTCAAGTTATGAATGAGATTTGGTTGAATTCAGCTAAAAGCACTACTTCATGAGCTTGGATGCAAAAATGGTTTGCTCAAAGTAAAAGAGTTGGCATTAAAGGTCTGTTTAGCTAGTTTCTTCTTCTATTGTCACTAGGCTGGCAAGGTCATCAAATTATTTAGTGTTGACTAGCACCGAGCTCTTGTTTCCTTAGGAAAAAATGAAGGCAAAAGCAAAAACAAAAATGTGTCACAAGATTGATAGTGAGGTATATAAGTTGATCTCATGAGGATTTCCTATGAATATAGTTTGGAGAATTTGTTTGTTTGACATTCTTTTTGTGCTTGCGTTTTACGCCTTAAGGTGGAAGCTAGCAATTGTAAGCAGGATCAGGAGTCCGTGGAACCAGATAGAGAATATAATAAACCTTGTACTCCCAAGCAGGGGCAGCAATCAAAAAGTTAGTGTAATTACTGCAGTAGGACATTCATTGGAAATCTAGAAACTTATTTGCTATGCTGACCTTCTGTTCTCTCATGGGTAACTTGTAGGTTTGGGCACTTCTACTGTCAAACAAGTTCAAGCTAAGGAGAACACTGAAAACAAAAGGTTTGCTATGCCTCTTATGTCACATGAGGTGCCTTAGTTTTTATACCATTTTGTTTTTCCTGAATAATGCAGAAAAGCAAATGAGCCTTGGAGTATGTTTTTGACTAATCTTCACAGGCTGTGTGTGAGAAGGCAATCTGCTAGATTGAAATCTGAAGAATCAAAACCCACTGAAGACTTCTTCGAGATAGAGGAAGCCAAATTTCCTGTATGTCCTTTGCATGATGATCAAATGCAGGGTGATGTTTCAACTACCATGCCTTCAATATTCAAAAAAGAAGATATAGATGGCAATTGTGCTTTTGGAAGAACATCGATCGGAAGGCCTGTGCGCCACGCAGCCCAGAAGATTCAGTCATACAAGGAAACTCCAATCAATGTGAAAATGCGCAGGCCTGCATAACCAGATCTTTTTTGACAACATTCTTCATATTGTTGGGGCGAGTTGCAGATGAGTGCTGAAAGAATGAAACTCTTCGTTACCTGCTCCGTTATCTTTCTTTTAAGAAACATTCTTGTTCTTTATGTTCGCTCTTTTGAACCACTTGAAGTTTGGCTGCTAGTTCACTGTAAGATTTGAAACTTGACTAGTTGACTATATTAATATACATGTCATTGAGCTGTGTTGATCATACTGCATTTTTATGATTCAAAAGTTTATTTTTTCCTCCGGATATTTACAAAATTTCATGTTGAATGACTCAATTTTCCTCCTCTTGCTTTACATACATACAAAATCAAAAGGCATGCAGTCATATAAATCCTCGGAAGCTTCTGTGGTTGGCATTTGTAAACAAGTAGAGTTTGGAAAGTAGGACTGGTCCTTGGCATGTCCTTGTTTACATAAAGCTTTATGTTGATGTATATAGTTATTTTTGAGCTATGGTCTTGAATATTTGCCGTTGCTTGGACTTTGTTACAACATTTGACGTTGCTAGGACCGTGGGACACTTATGAATCGGATCCTCAGAACCAGTATTGTATTACTAACAATGCACCGCCTGAGTTGTGAGTGAATAATTTTTTTTAAAAATATTTAGTATGTGCACTTAAATTAAATATCTTCTCAAATTTATTAAACTTATTTTCATCGCTCATGCTCCACTATAGAATTTTTGAAAATTTTATATGTTTTCAAGATTTGTTATTCTCACTATAGAATGTTCAATTGAGATAAAATTTAATATACAACGCTATAATATATATTATAAAGCATATTAAAATTTTTAAAAAAATTCAAGTTTTCACATAAAATTTTAACACAGTTTAAAAAATTGATGGTGACTAAAAAATCATGTAAAATTATATATATGTTATTTTTTATCTTAAAAATAAATTGGTTAAATATTTTGATAAAAAATAAAATATACATATGTAGTCATAATATTATCTTTATAAATGAGATAAATAGTATTATATTTGATGGTTCTCGGAATTTATGGCTCAAGCCCAACTATGATGGGATAGTGTTGTGAAATGGTTTTGTAGATTGCGGATTAATTTTTTATGATTAGTTAGACTGGGAATATAAGTGGTTCACCTTAGATGAAGGACTAAGGCTACATCCACTATCAACGAAGTCTCTTGCTTGCTAGGTTTATATATTCATTGGCCGGCAAAGTGCCTCCAATAACTTGGGACTTGGAGTTCACTTACAAAGGATGAGTATCTAGGTATTTTCTCTCAGCTTTTTACTCTTTTTGACTCTTAGATGTTCTCTGATCTTTTTCGGGGGAGATGAAGTCCTCTCTTTTTTAGGTTATTGTTATCTATTTATATTAACCCCTTTTAGGGCCTTCAGTTGTTCTTTCCTCTGTCCCCCTCCTGCTTCTTCTGCCACCACACCACGATCACTGTTCATTTGGCGCTGCCGTTGTCATGATCTCTGGTGGCCTGGTGCTCCACCTTCTCTGAGATTGTCATAGGTGTCAGGAGTGGTCCCCCTGGATCCCCAGGATGTGTGGTCCCCTTTGGCGATCCAGAAATAGCTTGGACTGGGCTTTCATTCTCCAAGCCGATTTATGGTTTGGACTGAGCCTGAACTGCTGGGTTATAGGCTTTTTGCCGGTGCCAAGCCCTCCTTCATTGCTTCGGGCCTCTTGGGCTAGTCAGGCTTCTGGGCCATCAAAGCCCTAGTCTTGAGTTTCGTCCGTATTAGTTGCCCCCCAGCCCCGAGTCATGAAGATGTTTTCACTTCTGGCCTGGGGTTAAAAATGACTTTTCTGGGCTTGTTATGAGCTTTTGAAGCGATGACTGTGTCCGACTAGTGGTTCTAATCAGGGTTGAGCCATGCCTTCGTTTGCCCACAATAATGGGATGAAAATGCACACGTGTCACCATCGGGTGAGCTCGTGGGTATGACTTTTGTGGCAAGTCCTGTCACTTGTTTGTCATGAATTTAATGCTTCACACATCCATATATGTCCCTCAAGGGGGGGGGGGAAGGTCTCTTGGCTTTTTGTTCAATGGTTCCGAGTCCCACTTTCCTTCGTGCTCTTTTCTCTTTCTGTGCGTTCGAAGTGTTTTGATCCAGACTCTTGGGCGACTTACGACATCCTTATCTCTGGTTCTCTTCTTCCTCTAGCGTTNGTTCGAAGTGTTTTGATCCAGACTCTTGGGCGACTTACGACATCCTTATCTCTGGTTCTCTTCTTCCTCTAGCGTTTCACTAGGTACGTCTTTCTTCCTTTCTCCTTGCTATTTCGACCTGGATCCATTTAACCCTCCCTGGTGGGGTTTTGGGTTCTGCTTCCTGATCTGGAGGTTTAGTTATTTTAGAGAACACTCTGACGACCTTTCTTTCCTTTCGCTATTCGTAGGCCATTCTTTAGTGGCGAGGGTATCCTTACTTAGGGCCAGGTGTTTGAAACCTTTATTTTTGGTAGATTGTGCCTTACATTTCCCTTCCCTTCACTCCGGTGTGAGATCTGATCTATTGATGGGAAAATTTGTCGTTTCTTCTTCTTCCGAATCGGAATCTGTTAGTGGGGAGGCCGAGAAGACCACTACAACTTCCTCTAGTGGGCGTTCTCTTTCCGTCGGCGGCGGAACCCTTGAGTCCACTCCTGGAGTTTCATCCCCGATGCCTCCAGTTGAAGCTACACCTCTCTTCGCCCAGCCTCCTGGTTCTCCGACCCAACCGAAGAAGAGAGAATTTGGGCCGGTTCTTCCCCCTGTTTCTAAAAAATGAATCCATCGTGAGTCATCTGACCTGACCTGTTGTGCGNGAGAATTTGGGCCGGTTCTTCCCCCTGTTTCTAAAAAATGAATCCATCGTGAGTCATCTGACCTGACCTGTTGTGCGGAGGGGACCTCTAGCTGTCTTGGTGATGAGGATTTGGAGGAATTGAGGCGTGAGTATTGCTTTCCTGATTTCGTGGAATTACATTCCCCCGGGAAGCATGAAAGGTGTAATTCTATTCTCCTTGGATTCACTTGCTTCTTCGAGTCTGCATTCCGGGCTGGTCTTTGATTTCCTATCCATCATTTTATCCGAAATGTTCTCGAATTTTACGTCTGTCCAGCTTATCTGTCCCCCAACGGTTGGGGCCTCCTGGTTGGTTTCCTTGTCCATTGGTTTGAGAGTGGGAACCTTCCCCTTCCCTCTATACGAGAATTTGCTTTCCTCTTTTAGCTGAAGTCTTCTCCCTCCTCAGGTTTCTTGTATTTTGTTAAACGGCTAAAGGCGAAGACTCTGATCTCTGGACTTCCGTCTTCCAATAAAAGATGAAAATCGAGGTTCTTTTTTGCTAAGGGCGATTCTTAGGAGCTGTTAGGGGAGCCCGACGACGTTCCGGCCGTGTTCCCCTTTGTTATCTTCTTCTCTCCTTTTTTTTTTGTTTCTAACTTTTGATCTGATTTGCAGAATTCTGCCCGGTATTTAGCACGGAGGAGGTAGCCCGAATTGCTAGAATTGAAGCCTTTGGGTTGAGGGGTTTCTTTGACTTAGTGACCAACGAAAACCTTGCTAAACATGGACTAGGACCGCCCATTATCCAAACTTTAGAGGTTGCACCACCTTTTGCCTCCCAGTCAAGTGACATGGACCAAGATCTGATCATGACAGTGTTTTCGGATACCAAGAAATTGAGAAAAAGGAGGAAATTGATGAAGGGAGGCCAACACCAACCAAAGAGACGTCGTCCATTGGGCCCACACCCACTTCCTTGGAATAGAAAAGTGAAGTCGTTCATCCCCGAGGGGATGCTGTCGTGCCCCCCCATTCTTCTGCACTTTCCAAGGGGAACACCTGCTCGGAGGGGGCTTCAGCGGACAAGCTCGGCTTTTCGGCCCCCCATTCTACCTCACCTGCGACGGTTTCTCCGAAGAGCGAAAAAGGGAAGTTCACCCCTTCTAAGTCTAAGGTGCGTGGGGGTGACTTTCTTTGCGATCCCGAGACCGCCGTGGCCGCTCTATCAGAGCTAATCTCCACGTCAGATCCTCAGTCGGTGATGGAGGTTCCCTTTAAAAAAAAGATCCAGCATGTCATCCAAGGCCTGGTCGAGGTACCTTCTTGTTCTGTTTTTCCATTTAGTTGTTCTTGAATTCTTTTCCTATTTTCCATGTTGTCCGATCTCCTTTTTCTTTCGTAGTCACTCGCCTGTGTGAAGATGTTGGATATCCATCATGAGCGGGATCTCCAGAAGGCCAAGGATGCTCTCGATGTCATGACAGTCAACAAGAACGCTGCCGAGGGGAAGCTGCAGGTTCTGGTTTTCGAGGTCGCAAAATTGAAGAAGATCAACGATGAGCTGGACTCTCACCATCAGGACCATATTGCGCTCAAAGAATCGCAGATCTAGAGTTTAGAGGCTAAGCTCAAGGCTAAAGATGCAGACCTCGAGGCCAAGGACGATGAAATCAAAGCCANTTGAAGAAGATCAACGATGAGCTGGACTCTCACCATCAGGACCATATTGCGCTCAAAGAATCGCAGATCTAGGGTTTAGAGGCTAAGCTCAAGGCTAAAGATGCAGACCTCGAGGCCAAGGACGATGAAATCAAAGCTAATGATGCAGACCTGAAGGCCAAGGACTCCAAGCTATCGTCTTTGTGGGCCCGGGTGTTTGAGCTGTTGAGAGAGTGCGCCTCTGCCTTTGTGAATGGGTTCCTGAACTATAGGGACCAGATAGAGGATGCTTATCCAGACCTCGACCTGCATTCCTTTGCACCGCGGTTTGAGTATAAGAAGAGGTCAGCGACTGTTGAAGAGGTGGCGGTACCAGGTGCTAAGGGGGCTTTCATTTCCCAGGTGAATGAGTCTAAGGAGCCCGATGCCCTAGCTGAAAAAATTGGCGAAGGAATCAGCGGTAGTGGTGAGGTTGTTATCTGAAGTGGACCTGTGGTTGCTTCTCTCCTTTTATTTTTGGTGATTCGACAAGGACCTTTGTAGCACTTTATTTTTGTGAATTTGATGTAACTTTCAGATTGGTACGGCTTCTTAATAGGAATGTCGTTGTTCGCTCGTTCCTTGTAATCGATATCTTCCTCGTTGGCCCTGTTGGATGAAAATGATGGTGTTGTTTGCTGACTTTGAGATCCTCCAATTGTGGTTCCCAAGTTATNTCATTTCCCAGGTGAATGAGTCTAAGGAGCCCGATGCCCCAGCTGAAAAAATTGGCGAAGGAA